CACAATTAACCGATCTTCATTCATCGTTTCTGCAAATTGCCATGATTTATACTAATCAATTCATCTTCACACTCATCCTGGAGGTTAGGAAAACAGCATCAGCAATATCATATAGGACAACTGCTTGATTAAACCAGGTCAATACTTTAAAAATAATGGCTCTTTTTACATAACAGTAATTATTTTAAATCTGAAGTTGCCTATAGCCAGTCATATGACAATGCTTGAACATCCATCTGTTGAGGATATTGAGCTTGGGCCATGCACATTCTAGCAGAGTCATTCAATCAAAAACCTTGTGCTGTTCAGTAGTTCAATTCTGACTCCATTCAGTTTTAGGAGTGGATTGCAGTCAAACTAAAGCTTTGGCTTAATGCAGTCTATAGATGAATGAACAATATAACCTAATTTGTATAAGTTACCAATTTTGCACGTGACAAAATTTAAGAAAAACTGGGCTCTAATTTTACTATCAGACACTAAATGTATAATAAAGAATATCCCTTTAAAATGTGATGCTGTCTTTTTAGAAAAAAACATGTCACACCTTAATGTGGTACCTCAAAGCTGTCTAATTCATATTCATATTCACCTGTTTTTTTTTATAAACAGCATCCTAATTGTGCCTTTCCTTTTTGACTTCATGCATTCAATCTAATGGCACACTTACACCAAAATGGTCCCATATTTCCCAAAATGCTGGTAAAATGAAAACACCTAAGTTTTGCTCATCCCTTCTGCACATCATTGAAACTTTTTTCATTGTGAGAAAGTTCAGTGTTCATCTGTTGCAAAACTATATGTCCAATTATACATATTAAAACCTGTAAGCAGGTAGGAAACTACTTAGTTAGCTACCAGCCCAGGCTGGGTTGGGGAAGGGTTAAAATCTTTTCCACTGATTTGCAGGCTTTTTGGAGCTTCAGTGGGCCCATCTATGATAAAATGGGGAAAGGCTAAGGTTCAGGTGTCCATTTAGCTCGCAAAGAGCCAATGGGGAGCCCAGAGTGCCCCAGTCCCTGTGCATTCCAGTGTGCTGCTGCTGTTCCTGTGTGCAGAGAAGGACTATTAGTATTGAGGATCCCAGGAGGCCACAAGCCATGGACTATGCCAACAACTATGGATCTTACTACTACTTATGGTCTCTAACATGCTGATCTGACACTCACAAGGTATGCATGGGCCATATAATGGTTAGTCAGGGTTTTGGAAGGAACTGTTTGCACTCTACTTTGGTTATCATGTTTTACTGAAGAAGGTAAGTAAAAATTGTTGAAATTTTTTTTAAACCTAGCCTGAAGTTATTCAAAGAGGTGCATAATGGCAGCCCCATTAGTCATGTATATGAAGAAACTGAGCCTGTTTAAGCAATAGAGGGGTACGTATACAACATTGCAGTGTCAAACAAGCACATTTAGGAAGAAAAAGGTTGATGCTAAAGGCAACTAGTCTATAACAGAAAGTTACAAGGCAACCAATCGAGGCGAGGTACCTTGGTTAGGTGGGGGTATCCTCTGGTAGTGAGGGGGTTTAATCGGGGCTCCTTCCCTAGCAGTCTGTCTTCTGTGGCAGGACCAGTGTTACAGAGGCCCTCACACCGAATAGCAGTACAGGAGAGGAAGAGGTTATGTAGGACATGCATGAAGCCCACGCTATAAGTCCGGCAGGGTTTCATTATGTTACTAGGAGGGAGGTAACAGAAGTATGCTGGCTGGTGGGTGCAGGGTGGTTCGGCCCACTGTCCTTAATGTGACCCATATAAATCAGTGTAAGTAGAGCAATTGGACAACTTTTGGAAAAGGAACTCAGTTGCATACTAGATGAGTGAGAGTGCCAGCTCATCTTAGAAGAATGTCAGCAGGAACTGATGGGTAAATCCTGTTAAGTCCTTAAATACCCTCATGTGTCACCACAGACTATATGAAATAATTTAAAGCAGTATTAAACCCAAAAGGTGGATGGCGTGGCTTGGTCATGGTGGCATAAACACGCACTTGTAAGAGCTCTGTGAGACCCGAACCCTGAGACTGCCAGTCTAGTGAACTGCTTTAGATGCCAGGAGAGAGGAAACCACAGCCTGCTGCCGGTGAGCCAAGGGGACCAGAGATTACCCACTATGTTCTCCAACAACATGCGGCGCCTGCTCCTCCATCCAAGATTATGCGCTGAGAGTCAGCATGCCTGGACCCTCTGGCTCTAAGAAGCACCATGTTCACAAATAGGGGATGAACTCTCTACCCCACGCCTGGTCTCACCTATCCTGACCCCTGTGCTTCCTTGGGCAGACTCCCCCACTGGCTTATCCTGTTCTCCCTCACCGGGCATCCAGCAAGACAAGGAGCTCTGGGACCTTATTGCTGATCTACCTAGCAGGCAAGATATACAAGCCATGGCCTCCTCTATAGTAGCGGTACTGTCTCGAGAGCTCCATGACTTAAAACAACAGGTAGACACAGTCGAGAAGAGGGTAAACATCTTGGAATATTCAGCTTCACGCGCAGACAATCGTATGGATGCTCTGGAGGACAATCAGGCTATCTTTCACTGCCATCTCATAAATATCCAGCTCAGAATTGACGACGGTGAAAATAGGTACAGGCGGAATAACATCCTCCTCCGGGGCATCCCTGAAGCTACGGCGGGACCTGACCTACGTTCCATGGTGGTTGCCGTCCTCAATCAACTTTTAGATAACCACCTACTACAGAAGTTGAACTGGATCGGGTGCGCTGGGTCCAGGGCCGGCGTCCTCGTCCTTCTACATAGGCTGATCCTATAACTTTGCCACCTCCTCAGGATGTCCTTTGCCAGGTACATTTCTACTGCATTAAGGAGGAGATCCTACACAGGGCCTGGACCAGAGGGGCCCTTAACTTGGATGGAATTGAGGTCCGCATCTATCCAGATGTCTCCCGTTAGACTTGCATAATGAGGCCCTTACTGGAGGTTATCCAGAAAGCTGGGACTACTTACTGTTGGGGTCACCCTTTCCACTTGGTCATTCAACATCAAGGCTCCTCATACCACCTGCACTCACCTGATCAGCTTCCAGTGCTGTTCCAGTTCCTAGACCGTCCGGTTGTCACTGTGCCGAATTGGCTGGACTCTCTTCCTCGGGAAGATGCAGAGAATCTTTCGCTACCGAGACCACATCGGATCTGCAGGTCATGCTTTCGCAACCCTACCGATACGGCTCGCAGGAGCACCCTGACATTTTCGGAGGACTGACCACTAAGACTTATTGTTCAACTACTCCTGTGAAATTACATATTCCTGAATGGTGCCAGGCTTGGTGAGAGGCGAATTGATAGCTCTTTAGTTTCAACCTTGTTTGACTGTATATGGGAAACTGGTTTCACACTGTTGCTTCTGTGTCTGATGATCCAGCCTCTCCCGTTATATGTTTGTTCTGGTCTCGGGGGGGGGGGGGGGTGCTCCCCTCTTGACAACGGCTATGGGCTACATCTTGATTCTGAGCCCCCCCGCATCGGCCCCGTTCTTGGTGGCTGAAGGCCTAGAAGGCATATCCTTTCCTCTCCAATGGAGGGACGTGCACAGACCCAGGTCGAGCTCTCTCGATCTGGCCATAGTCTCTCACTATAGGTGCAACTTAGTTATAGTTATTTATATGTCATGCTGATATAGATCCTGTCAGGAATGGACTGGCCAGCAATGGTGGGACTCACCTGCCTTATGGGCTGCAGTACCAGGGCTGGCCAGCGGGTGCTCCCAGCAATCAGAGACTCAACCTTGCACTCAACCTGACCCTCTGTACCACGCTGCCCGCTACCTGCTGAACCTGGCTTGTGACCCCGACCATTCTCCTCTTGCTCCCCCTGTACCTACCTGCCCGATTGATATTGACCCGGCCTGCCTGACGACGCTTGCATTGTATGTACTGTTATCTGTGGGTGGTTGGTTTGGTTTGTTTGCACTGTGTTATGTTTTAGTATTGCACTGCGTTTATGTTTGTATTGTTAGTGTTAATAAATTATATTGTTTATAACATATCTGAAGTCTGCGTTTCCCTGCGTCAGTCACATACCTCTGGTCATACCCGAGAGCCCTGACATTACACCAAGGCCAATCCTGACCAGAAGTGGCTGCACAGGGAAGCCATCTTGGTTTGTTGATGGGAAGGATGGATCTTGATGAGGTTGTGTATTTATATCTGCTAGTGTTTGATGACAGAGAGTATGCTTATCAGACTGAAGGAGTATCCCAGGGATGAACTGCTAGAATGTATACGGCTCGCTCATGTTCTAGTAGATCAGGGCACAGAATTCTCTGAGGTGCAGCCATTGATTCAGGTTTGTGCGGAGTTGGTTTCATCTGGTACCCCCGAATGCAGGGATGAATTTTTGCCGCCATTTAGTGCCGACCAGGTAGAGTCCCTGGTATGGTTATTAGAGGATGATGTGGATTACTTTCTGGAGCGTTATTCTGCATGTTCACCACAGATACTAAGAGATTGTATAAACGCAGTGCAGTCTTTGGTCAGACAGGCTTTGTGTAAGCTGAGCTTTGTTCAACCCATACTGCAGACATGGACAGATTTGTTGCACCCAGCCTCAGTCAGCTTACAAAAACCCAGTCCTGCTTCTAATCTATTTCCTCAAAGCTCTATTCCTGCATTCCCAACAGCTCCTCCTGCCCTGCTATCTACCGCATGTCAGTACCCTGTTCCCACTCGCTGCACCTATCCTGCCTTTAACCCTGTAAAAAAGCCCTCTGTAGCAACTGTTCCCTCCCCTGTTCCATCATCCAGCTCTTCTCTGTCTCCAGCTGCTCCATTCGTTTGCAGACCTGCGTTTACTTGCAGTGCTCCAGTAGTTAAAACCAGAAAAAAGCGAAAATTCTTTTCAACCAATACCATCCTGCCAGTATCAAAACCGGTGAGCCTGCCGTATGAGAACCTGCCTTCCGTGGTTCAGCCTGGTGCCTCGGCACCCGCACTTCAGCCTGAGGTCTGTACCCAGCCTGATGCCTGTACCCAGCCTGATGCCTGTACCCAGCCTGATGCCTCTACTCAGCATGATGCTTCTACTCAGCCTGATGCCTCTACTCAGCCTGATGCCTCTACTCAGCCTGATGCCTCTACTCAGCCTGATGCCTCCATTCAGCCTGATGCCTCTACCCAGCCTGATGAACTGATCCAGCCTGATGATCTCTGAGGAAGAGGCAAGTCCTCGAAATGCGTCAGCCTTTTGGATGTCTAAACTCCCTATTGCGGACTGTTACTCAGCGCGGTGTTGATCCAGCTGTTCTTTTATGATGTGCCTTGACTATATTGTCGTTTGTGAGTACAACACCTACTTTATTATTTTTTATTAAACATTTTTTATGGTAATGCGCTAGGCCTGTGCGCCCTCTTTTTGATGAACTGATCCAGCCTGATGATCCTATTAGGCCAGTTGACTCGATGCCCGCTGTTGATCCAGACGATCCGGTACCTGATCCGGTGCCCGCTGTCATGCCAATTGACTCAGAGCCCGCTGTCGTGCCTAGTGACTCGGTGCCCACTGCCTTGCCAGATGACGCGGTGCCCGCTGGCGAGCCAAATGACCTGATGCCTGGTGGTGACCCGATGCCCGCTGTCCAGCCAGACGATCCAATGTCTGACCCAGTGCCCGCAGTCATGCCAGTTGACTCGGAGCCCATTCCCTTGCCAGATGACGCGGTGCCCGCTGTCGAGCCAAATGACCTGATGCCTGGTGACCCGATGCCCGCTGTCCAGCCAGATGATCCAATGTCTGACCCAGTGCCCGCGGTCATGCCAGTTGACTCGGAGCCCACTGCCTTGCCAGATGACGCGGTGCTCGCTGTCGAGCCAAATGACCTGATGCCTGGTGACCCGATGCCCGCTGTCCAGCCAGACGATCCAATGTCTGACCCAGTGCCCGCAGTCATGCCAGTTGACTCGGAGCCCACTGTTGTGCCTGGTGACTCGGTGCCTGTCGCTCCGCCTGGGGGTCCGGCGCCCGCCGCTCCGCCTGGGGGCCCGAGACCTGTCGCTCCGCCCTGGGGGTCCGCCGGCGACCTGTCGCTCCGCCTGGGGGTCCGGCCGCCTGCCGCTCCGCTCCGCCTGGGGGCCCGAGACCTGTCGCTCCGCCTGGGGGTCCGGCGCCCGCCGCTCCGCCTGGGGGCCCGAGACCTGTCGCTCCGCCTGGGGGCCCGAGACCTGTCGCTCCGCCTGGGGGTCCGGGGCCCGCCGCTCCGCCTGGGGGCCCGAGCCTGTCGCTCCGCCTGGGGGCCCGATGCCGGCGCCCGATGCCTGCTGCTCCGCCTGGGGGCCCGATGCCTGCTGCTCCGCCTGGTGGCCCGCTGCCTGCTGCTCCGCCTGGTGGCCCGGTGCCTGCTGCTTTGCCTGGTGATCCGATGTGCCTCTGCCCGGAGTCCAGCCCGATGTGCCTCTGCCCGGAGTCCAGCCCGATGTGCCTCTGCCCGGAGTCCAGCCCGATGTGCCTCTGCCCGGAGTCCAGCCCGATGTGCCTCTGCCCGGAGTCCAGCCCGATGTGCCTCTGCCCGGAGTCCAGCCCGGTGTGCCTCTGCCCGGTGTGCCTCTGCCCGGTGTGCTTCTGCCCGGTGTGCCGCTGCCCGATGGCCCTCTGCCCGGAGTCCTGCCCGGTGTGCCGCTGCCCGGAGTCCTGCCCGGTGTGCCAGTCTTTGATATCCCGCCAGTTACCAGACCCGGGCGGTGGAACATTTTGCCCAGCTAGGACTGTTTGGAGCGTCCTGAGGCCGCTCCTTGAGGGGGGGGGGGGTACTGTCAGGAATGGACTGGCCAGCAATGGTGGGACTCACCTGCCTTATGGGCTGCAGTACCAGGGCTGGCCAGCGGGTGCTCCCAGCAATCAGAGACTCAACCTTGCAGCCAGCCAAACACCTGAAACTGCTTATACTGGTGTATTTAAGGGATGGCCAGACCTGCAGACTCTGCCTTGGTGTGTGTTTTTCCTGGGCCCTGTATCCTGTTCCTGCATCCTGTTCCTGTTCCTGTTCCTGTCTTGTTGCTGACCCTGCCTGATCTGCACCTCTGCTGACTTCTCCTGCTCTGACCCCGGCTTGTTCCGGACCATCCCTCTGCCTGACCCTCTGTACCACGCTGCCCGCTACCTGCTGAACCTGGCTTGTGACCCCGACCATTCTCCGCTTGCTCCCCCTGTACCTACCTGCCCGATTGATATTGACCCGGCCTGCCTGACGACGCTTGCATTGTATGTACTGTCATCTGTGGGTGGTTGGTTTGGTTTGTTTGCACTGTGTTATGTTTTAGTATTGCACTGCGTTTATGTATTGTGAGTGTTAATAAATTATATTGTTTATAACATATCTGAAGTCTGCGTTTCCCTGCGTCAGTCACACACCTCTGGTCATACCCGGGAGCCCTGACAGATCCTTTGGTCTAAGCATTCTGCCTATATTTCTCTTATGGGGAATGCTGGAAGCAGCAGTATGTTTACATTTCGTGCTTTGTCTCGGTTCTCCGGTCTCACATCTCTGATTGTCTAACCCAAGTCTCACTTCATCATTTCCCTTTAGGGTACTTCCCCTACGGTGCACTACCGTGCTCAGTATGGGAATCTGGTACGCAGTACCATTAGATTACTCCTGTTCCCACCTCCTTTTCTTACCCCCTCAGACCTCTTATCCTTTCTACCTTCCCCTATCTTGGGCTTCTCCCCTCCCCTGGTTCTTACTCCTACTTTTTTCCTCGATACAAGCATTCCCTCACCATACAACTCTTGAATGCTGCAAAAGCATGCATTCCTCTCTGCTAACAAAAGCGCTATGGTTTACTTTAGTCAGTGAACTCAGGGACATGGAAGACCTTAATGCCACACTGCACAATATGGAGGAAGTGTTTACTGAAACTTGAAGTCCCTGGCACTATTTCATGTATACGAATGCCTACCTCAGGGAGATGGCTACAACCCAGTAATGCTTCTCCCATGCCTCCCAGCCTCTTACCCGGTAGAGGGATACTCCCTTCTCTTTTCTCTTTCTGTTCAGGGAGCTCCAGCCTGTTTTTCTTCTTATTTACCCTTCCCCCCCTGCTCCTGAAAGTGCCTTCCATGCTGTTTTTATGTTTACAACTTGATGTATGTTGATTTCCTACCATATTTGGGATCAGACTACCATTAGAGTCTACGTCTTTCCTCAAACCCGTTAACATGCTCAGTGTAAAATCTTTCTTTTATGTTTTCAGCTTACATTTCAGTACTCTATTGTTAATTGGATATGATTTAGGATGCAAGTTAAAGGGAAGGACCTCCAAGGTGATATTTTCTTAAATATTACCTGTGCCATGCGCAACTTAGGAAAGACAGGGGGAGATTAGAGAACTCAATGCATGGCTGAAGACCTGGTGTAAGAAGGAAGGATTTGGGTTTCTAGAGCACTGGGCTGACTTTTCATTGGGGTGTAACCTATATGCTAGAGATGGTTTGCACCTAAATGGAAGGGGGTCTGCTGTGCTAGGGGAGATTTTTATGGGAAGGCTGGAGGAGTATTTAAACTAGGATCAAGGGGGGTGGGAGAATTAATTATAACGGGGTAGACAGATCAGACAGGGGTCAGTACTTATTGGTGGGTAGAATGGGGAAAGGTGGGGGGAAGGCTATGGCAGATAAGAAAGTTCCAATATTACAAACAGCCAGTGGAATTGGTACCATTTGTATGAAAATAAAAAATATGCAAAATACGTGTGAACAAGGTGTTACTGAATTAAAGTGTTTGTTCACCAATGCTGGAAGACTGCCAAGCAAAATAGGTGAGTTGGAAGCTTTTGGTGCATGAAGAAAACTATGATTTAATTGGTATTGCTGAATCTTGGCTTCATTCTTCACATGCCTGGGCCATTAATATTCATGGCTATCTTCCATATCTGAGAGACAGTTTAAATAGGAAAGGTGGTGGTGTCTGTCTCTATGTGAGAAGTGATCTCAGACCAAGTGTGAAAGAGTGCCTAATTGATGGAGCTTGTGATGAGGCTGAAGTATTATGGGTGGAACTGCACATGGAGGTGTGTACTACAAAAGATAATCACTGGAGTTTTTTATAGGCTGTTAATGAGGAGGTGGAGATTCAGCTCCTTGCACAGATCGAAAGGGCTGCAAGGGCTGGGACAGTGATAATAATGGGGATTTTAACTACCCGGAAATTGACTGGAGTAATGGTACTGCAGGAATAGTTAAAAGGCAAAAATTTTCAAACCTACTACAGGACAATTTTATGGTACAGTTCATAGAGGTCCCTACTAGGAATGATGCTGTGCTGGACCTGCTAATCTCAAACCATGCAGAGCTTATTACAAATATGCATATAAAAGAACATCTGGGTAGCAGTGACAATATCATGATTTAATTTATTGTTAGCTGTAAACAGCGAGCACATACGGGAAAAATAAAAACGCTCAATTTTAAGAGAGCTAATTTTCCAAGGCTGAGAGCTGCTCTCCAAGATTTAGACTGGGAGGGAATATTGGCATCAATGAACACAACACAGAAATGGAAGTTCTTCAAAAAGACTGTATGTGAACACACTGCAAAATATATTCCCATGGGCAACAAGTTTAAAAGGGCTTAAAATCAAACCTATGTGGCTTACGGCCGGCCAAAGTTAAAAAAGCTATAGATAAGAAGAAAAGAGCTTTTATTAAGTATAAAAATGAAGTAATGCTATCATCATTTAAACATTACAAAGAATATAACAGAATATGCAAAAAGGAAATAAAGGTCGCAAAAATTGAAAACGAACGACAGATTGCAAAAGATAGTAGGATCAACCCCAAAAAATTCTTCAAATATAATACTAGTAAAAATGTCCGGTCTGAGCATGTAGGCCCTTTACAAAATAATCTAGAGTGGGTGCCTGGGGACAAAGAGAAGGAAAATTTATTAAATACCTTCTTTAGCTCTGTGTATACAAAGGAGCATGGGGGAGGTCTTGTCCATAATAAGCATGGTATTGACACAGCTCCAGATGATCCGCATTGGCTCACAATTGATATGATCCAAAAATATTTAGACAGAATAAAAGGTGAATAAAGCACCTGGACCAGATGGCATACACCCACGGGTCCTTAAAGAATTGAGCTCTCTCATTTCAAAGCCATTGTTTCTCATTTTTAGGGACTCTTTACTGACTGGCATAGAACCACTGGATTGGCGTAAGGCCAATGTGGTGCCAATATTTAAAAAGGGGTCAAAATCTTTACCAAGTAATTATAGACCTGTTAGTTTAACTTATATAGTGAACTCAGTGTAGAGTTATTCACCCTGAGGTCATCACAGAGGACAAGGGGGCACTCTTTATGTCTGGAGGAAGAGAAATTTAATCTCCAAACATGGAAAAGTTTCTTCACAGTGAGAGCTGTGAAATTATGGAATAGACTCCCTCCGAGTTGGTTCTGGCCAGCTCAGCTCAGCTCAGTGGATTGCTTTAAAAAAGGCCTGGATTCTTTCCTAGATACACAGAATGTAACTGGATACTAACATTTTTAGGTAAAGTTGATCCAGGAAATATCTGATTGCCTCTCGGCGGATAAGGAAGGAATTTATTTCCTGCAGGAGCAAATTGGATCATGCTTTGCTGGTTTTTTTTGCCTTCCTCTGGATCAACTGTGGGTATAGGATTATAACTTTTTTTTTTTAATGGTTGAACTGGATGGACTTGAACTGGATGTACTTGTGTCTTTTTTCAGCCAAACTAACTATGTGACTATGTAACTTATTTCAGCATTACCTAGACTATTTTTTTCCTATTGTATGACATTATGTTATGTGTTTTTGAACCCACATCTGTAAATTGTCAAAACTTTTTTAAAATAAAGGAATTTAAAAAAAAAACTCTTCAGCAGAATATATCAGTTTACAGGGATGAGACAAACCATTTAACGCTAGCAGGATTGGTTAAAATGATCAGCTTTTATTCATTAGTGTAAAACCTTTACCCAAAAGGAAAAAAAAGATTCTGTAACTGATTATACAATGTTAGCTGGAGTTTGGTTTTAATTAGTTTCTTAAATCTGCTAATACATTTAAGACTTCCCTCCCCCGAGACTACAATATCAATACCGGAGGTGTGTTACTGGCCAGATCACCAGGTGAAAACAAGGGTAAAAAGACAAAGAAAAGAAAACTGATGAGGCCACCACATCTAATGACTGGTAAGCTACAATATACTGTATTACATTTTTAGTTTAGGGTTTAATACCATCTTAAACTACAATAGAAAATTGTTAGATTTCATTATTTGTAACAGATTCATACAGTTTTTCAGATTCATACAGCATCCAAGAAAAAGTTTATGCTTGACTTAACTGGTTTTACTTCCTGGTATTACATTTTAAACCTTTTGTGTTATAAATTTTGTTTAGATGTTCTTTTAACCTTTTGTTTTAGGGATGCAGGATTTTTTTTTTGTGTTATAAGCCTGTTGAAATCAAATAACTTCATTTATAACATATACATAAAAAAGTGCACATGACCTTTGGCAGTTTTTTATTATATGCCCCTTTTTTAGATTTCCTTTGTTAATTACCGTATTTTTCGCTCCATAAGAAGCACTTTTTTCCCCCAAAAAAAGGGGAGAAAATGTCAGTGTGTCTTATGGAGCGAATATGGAGCGGCCAGTCCGGTATTTCCACCGCCGCCGTGTCAGAATACCGGGCTGGCCGCTCAGCTCTTCTCTGCAGCAGAACCTTACCTGTTCCTTGGTCCAGCACTGTGCAGTCTTCCCATGCCGGCTTCTTCTGTGACAGCCGGGTGCCCACTGCGCATGCGTGAGAAGCGCTGCACTTTGTGAATGGTACGGCATCCTCTGGGACACATGACAGGTCCCAGAAGACGAGCACAAATTCAGGTACCCGCTCCCCCTCCCTCCCCAAAGGTCGTCAGGCTCTTAGTCATCCCCTGTACTGTCTGCAGTCTCTGGTCATCTCCTGTACTGTCCGCAGTCTCTGGTCACTCCCTGTACTGTGTCCGCAGTCTCTGGTCATCATCTCCTGTAATATGTCCGCAGTCTCTGGTCCTCTCCTGTACTATGTCTGCAGTCTCTGGTCCTCTCCTGTACTATGTCTGCAGTCTCTGGTCATCTCCTGTACTATGTCTGCAGTCTCTGGTCATCTCCTGTACTATGTCTGCAGTCTCTGGCCATTTCCTGTACTATGTCTGTAGTCCGTTGGTTCAGAATATTTTTTTTCTTGTTTTACGCCTCTAAAACCTAGGTGCGTCTTATGGTCAGGTGCGTCTTATGGAGCGAAAAATACAGTATTTCTACTGGTACTTACAATAGAACTTTGTGCTATCATCGATTTGGGCTATTTGCTCAATTTTGCAACTGTCAGTTTTCAGTGGTGGTTGGCTAGCTGGAACTTTATATTCTTACAACACTAATGTTTTCACAACATAAGTTCTTTTTTTTTCTCTGCCTGATAGGACCATGTCGTTTACCGTTCTTTGTTTTAGTGTAAAATCTTTCTGTGTGACTTTTAGTATGGGATTCGCAAGCAAGCTAACCTCATATAAAAGTAAAAAACAATTAAGTCAATTTCATTTTCAACAAGGCAGTTTGAACATTGCATGGAACAACTTAGCAGTTTATGGAGTTAACACTTCATCTATATTAAGATGTTGTCAGCACTAAAAGATCTTGTTATCAATTAAAGAAATTTGTGATGGAAAATTTCTGCACACTAAGTTTACCAAGTTTGTTCTTAATATGACCATTAACCAAGACAGGGAGAAAAGTCAAGATAGGTTGGGTTGGCATAGTTTGGGTGCAAAAAGTATATATTTTATTGTCCTTTATACTTATCAAAGATCATCCTATCTATAGTGAACTTTAATGTAAATATGTGGTAGTATGTAAATCAGCATCCAATTTATACATTTGAAAAAAGTTTAATAAACATTTAAAATACTAAAAAGAGTAAAATATAATTTGCAAAAAGAGTAAAATACAATTTTCAGCTTCTCATCTCATCAATATGGTGAGCAGTCATGGATAAGGTTGCACAAAATCATTTGTCTTATAGAGTATTCTAATATGTTGTGATCTACCTTCAAATGTGGGTGTTCCATTAGGGTAACTCCATAATTAATGAGAAAATTACATTACTGATTTTGTGAAACTTTTGTTTAGACATGGGTTTTTTTCGTATTTAAAATTCTGAACAAGTGCTTATACCATGAATAATTAAGAACCCAATAAAATCTAATATTAATGCCCCCGGCATGATGTAAATCACTTTTAAAGAATACTTCCTGTCCAAGAAATATTTAAAAGAATGTTTATCAGATGTATCTGCTTATGATTTTCATGGGGCAGTAGGGAAATCATTGTAGTTCTCAAGCTAAAGCTAACAAATATGTTTGCTTGGGTCTGCTATAATAAGGCTTACCGGTACGAACAGTGAATATCTCCTTAGAAGATATTCACTGTTGCTGCATCCAGTGATGTCACCAGTGCATGTGCTCTGAAAGGATGGCATACTCATGTCATCTCTTCAGAGTTCTATGCCGTGGCTGTGACTCCCGCTCACATGCCCGGGAGTAACGTCATCGCAGGTTGGCCATTCAAATGGTCGGAGCCTACAAGCCCGGAAGGAAGACCGGGTGAAAATGAATACTAAAGAGATAGATGAATACATTTTGGGCAAGATTTAAGAAGAAAGATTATTTATTTTCAAAAATTTTATAAGAAAAACACTTTTTTTCAAAATGTTTGGACTTTTTCATTTATATAGAAAAAAATCCCAGTGGTGAATAAATACCACCAAAATAAAGTTTTATCTGTCTCAAAAAGTGCAAAAAAAAGTATATGGGTACAGTATTGCATGACCGTGTAATTCAAAATGTGATAGCACTGAAAGCTGAAAATTGGCCTGGACTGCAAGGGGGTGAAAGTGTCCGGACTTAAAGTAGTTAAGGTAAGTATTTCATAATGTGCTAGTATGCAATGCATACTAGTACATTATAACATTAACTTGCAGGTTGGCAACTTTGCTATCCCTTTAAGTTTGCTTAGAAAGTGATAACATAGTTACATAAATATTAATTTATTTATCAATAGTAAATTGTATCACATATTTCATTTTTATTTTCATAGAAAGGGTGTCTGGGTACTCCAAGGAAGGTGGGGGCCAGAGGGGAAGGAGAGAAAGATCCTGAGCCTGAAGTTGCGCTTTAAAGCAGAAATAAATCCTCATATCCTTTTCAGGCAAGGAAGCTGCCAGGTTAGCCTCTGCTTGATAGGCGAATGCCATGATGATGCCCATGTGATCAGTTATGACACAAGCCGTTTGATGATCTGTTTGGTTTAGAGCATAAGCATTTATGACAGTTAGTATTCCCAGCATTCCGGGAATGTACCTGAAATTGTTAATGTGGAACTAAATGCCCCTAATCTTTTCAGCCAAGGAAGCTGCCACCTTAGCCTCTGTTTGATCCCCAACTGTCATGATTCTACATGTGTGATCATTTACGACACCATCCATTTGATAGTTTGACAGTTTAGTTGAGAGCGCAAGCAAATGTCACAGTTAGCATTCCTGGCATGCCGGAAATTCAAGTTTTTGAAAACGTTAAATAGATGGGCTTAGTTACGCTTTATTATTAATGTATTTAAAGTGTTACTAAACCCACAACAGTAAAATCAGTCTGAATATGCAGTAAAGCATGCTTGTTATACTCACTGTGGAACCTAAGGGGTTAATCCACTGCATTGTGTAAAAGGGCTGTTTGATCCTTTCTTCTCTGCCTCTCATTTTGTTGAAATGTCCACCTGATACAGACTGAATCCATAGTCACATAGTCACATACACATGCTTAGTTTGGTGTGTATTGCTAGGGAGTTTTTTTTTTTCTTGGGAAAGTGCATGTGATCAGCACAGGGCCAATCAGCACTGTCCAAACAGAGGGTCAGGGGTTTCACATCCTCCTAAAGCAGAAAGAAAACTCCTCCTACAAGCTTTAACCAGTGCTCTGCTGAAGTCAAAAAACTGCTCTAACTGCTGATGAGAAAAGGTATTTAGTAGTTTATATTTACTAAAATTATTGCATTTCCATGTTCTGTACTGTGGCAGATCAGATATAGTGAATGCAGGGTCCTGGGTTTAGTAACACTTTAAATTGATAATCATCAAGGGTAACAATGTGCCCACATGATTGTTCTAGAACTGTGCAGAAACTGCCAGTAGATTGTGGGCTGTTCTGTGGTGAAATGTTCATAGAACAAGACGGAAACTAATCATCCACCCAGCCCAACATTGCACTCTTCTGCTGGGTGCTCAAAAATGCAGCCCACTTCTTACATTATTAGGATAAATCAGCAAAGGTACACTGTAAAAGCAGTATTTTATTCAACAACTGCAAAAACCAACATTACTCTGTAGCTGTTGCTATGTGTTTTCAATAAGTCTGTCCAATTTCAAACAGCAAACAAGATTACATCATACAGTATATTAAGAAATTACCTGCAAAAAAGCATGTACATACTAAATACAAACTAAAAACAACTATTTGATCTGGAAACATTATAACCAGGGGCGGACTGACCATTTGAAAACTCAGGCACTGCCCGAGGGCCCGGGGTCAGTTGGGGGGCCCCATGAGATGCCCCTGGTACCTTTTTCATAGGCTTTTTTGAGTTTGGGTAAGGACAAAGGGGCCCCATGATCCCCTGTTGCCTGAGGGCCCCATGAATTGTCAGTCCGCCCCTGATTATAACATTATGATCCTTCCAAAGTAACACAATCTTTTATTGTCTCTGACAATCTGCAGTCCACATTAAAGGATGGTCCACTGAAAAAGGGGTGATGGGATTAAATTTAGGGGGTTAAAATGGTTGTAAACCTCAGACAAGTAATATGAACAAAGTATGTCTTTCTATGCTGTGTACTTGCCTCTATCCAAGTATGATTTCTCTCTGGTGCCACATTCCTCAGTTATCTGCATGAGTCACTTTTCACTAGTTTTCCTGATGCAGAGATAAAAAGGCAATGGGGGAACAGAGCTCCAGCACACTGCGTTTGATTGATGTCCTCAGCTCTGCATGTTCTCCATGTACTGTATGAAGGCGGTGTGTCCTTTCCCTAATATCAGGGGGCGCAGAACTGTCCCCACTGAGATCTGCATTGTGAGACTTCAGATCCTGCCCCCTGCTTTTCAGAGATGAGAAATCCTGTATACATTCTGCATTTTAAATGGATATAGAGGAGGGAAGGCTACAGATAAACAGATACAACTTAGGAGGATTTGTTTCATCATTGTGTATCTTCTGATGCTAATTACTTCACTCGGTATATGTGAAGGTTTTCAACCCTCAGAAGAAAATAGGGATCCCATTTCAAATTCAAATCTCTAGGACAGGGGCAGACTGACAACTCATGGGGCCCCCGGGCAATCGGGGATCATGGGGCCCCTGCATCCTTGCCCAAACTCAAAAAAGCCTATGAAAAAGGTACCGGGGGCATCTCATGGGGCCCCCTACTGACCCTGGGCCCTCGGGCAGTGCCCGAGTTTCCAAATGGTCAATCCGCCCCTGCTCTAGGATGATATGTGTCCAGGGTTAGAAACCTAACATCTGGGGTTGAGTTGTAAGTGGAAAACTGAAATAAACCTGCATAATCCTTAAAATAGATACAAAAGTGTTAGGAATATACAGAAAACTAAACAATGAAACACAAACCCCAAACAGTTTTGATAGCATGCCTTTTGACAAGGTATGAGCAAATAAAGCTGTATTTCCTCCAATTCGGTTTCATGCAAATCGGGTCCATAACATATGGTGTCTGAGCTCTCTTGGCACTGGCAATGTCCATCATTAGGCGCTTGGCATCAGGAATAAGTATGAATCCCATGGCTGTAGCTGGTGAGAGCTTATCCTCAGTATCAGCCTGTTATTGCTGATATTGTTCGCCATTGCTCTGTCAACCTGCCAGTTTTTCTGCACTTTCGCCTTCATCCAGCTACTATCTACTGTTTGCTCTGACTATCTGTCTGAGCAACTGGCTTCTGTCCTGCCTGTTATTCAACTGTCACCCCTAATGACCCAGAGGGATTGATCTACTAAAGACAATTAGACTGTTCATTTTGCAAGGGAATTTTCCCTTAGCTTATTGAAAGTGGGGATAATTCACTTGGCAAAAAATACCCAATTATGTGCAAGGAAAACTTTTAAAATATAGTTATGCTTGCACATGGTTGGTTGATGGAAGT